AGAGTTCTGGAACTGAAGAAGCCTCTTGGATGAGAGAGGAAACGTCTTCAAAGGAAAACCTACTTCGTCCAGTTGACTTCGATGTTTCTTAGATTTAACCTGTTTTGGCAACAGTTTTGACAACTATGGTGGCACAGATGGAAAACGTACATATGATGACGCTGCATATTGACGCACGTCGTAACCTGTGATTCAGTAAATGTTAGTCATTGTTTAATCTGCACATGTCAAACGTGACGTCGTACCAAAGTTTGTTAGATCCACGTCACGTGGTGTGTCATGTGTCAGTGTTCTGTACCAAAGTTTCTCACGTGGTGTGTCATGTGTCAGTGTTCTTCTAAGATTGTAGCCTACAGAGGCCATGACGAGTGTGATGCTGTTGCCTTTGCACAAAACAAAGCAAAATGTCCGCTCTTTATCGAGGCAAGAATGCAATTTAGAAAACATATGCCCTGCAGGCGAGTTATATGAAGTGATATGGAGAAGTTATCGGCATTAATAAATACCTGTCAATAGGTATTGGTGCGAGTAATTATCTACGAAATGAGGAGATTCTGAATCTTCTTGTCGCTCAGGCTGTGAATGTGAAGGCTAGAATACTGTGTGTGTGTGTGTGTGTGTGTGCGCGTGTGTGTGTGTGTGTCTTTCTCCACCAATGTTACTTGTTCTGGTTCTTGTTTGTTTGTGGGTTTGACCTTGGTTTCAAACTAATTATGTTCAATGGACCAGGGATACCCTCCCCCCCCACCTCCCCCTTTAATCCATTATAAACAATCTGATGGAGGGTGAGTGATTCAGCACTGTAATTTGGTTGGTGATCTTTGCATTGACATCATTTCATTTCGCCCTCTCACATTCTCAATACACTTATCACAGTCTGTGGCGTCTCATCGAGGGCCCGGAGATGAGGGTCTGGGGTGACGGACGGAGGGAGGAAGAGCAGAGCGCCGCGTCTGTGCGGTTTAATTTATTTGCAACCTTTCACAACACTTCACTGTGTGTGTGTGTGTGTGCGCGTGTGTGTGTGTGTGCGCGTGTGTGTGTGTGTGCGCGTGTGTGTGTGTGTGCGCGTGTGTGTGTGTGTGCGCGTGTGTGTGTGTGTGCGCGTGTGTGTGTGTGTGCGCGTGTGTGTGTGTGTGCGCGTGTGTGTGTGTGTGCGCGTGTGTGTGTGTGTGCGCGTGTGTGTGTGTGTGCGCGTGTGTGTGTGTGTGCGCGTGTGTGTGTGTGTGCGCGTGTGTGTGTGTGTGCGCGTGTGTGTGTGTGTGCGCGTGTGTGTGTGTGTGCGCGTGTGTGTGTGTGTGCGCGTGTGTGTGTGTGTGCGCGTGTGTGTGTGTGTGCGCGTGTGTGTGTGTGTGCGCGTGTGTGTGTGTGTGCGCGTGTGTGTGTGTGTGCGCGTGTGTGTGTGTGTGCGCGTGTGTGTGTGTGTGCGCGTGTGTGTGTGTGTGCGCGTGTGTGTGTGTGTGCGCGTGTGTGTGTGTGTGCGCGTGTGTGTGTGTGTGCGCGTGTGTGTGTGTGTGCGCGTGTGTGTGTGTGTGCGCGTGTGTGTGTGTGTGCGCGTGTGTGTGTGTGTGCGCGTGTGTGTGTGTGTGCGCGTGTGTGTGTGTGTGCGCGTGTGTGTGTGTGTGCGCGTGTGTGTGTGTGTGCGCGTGTGTGTGTGTGTGCGCGTGTGTGTGTGTGTGCGCGTGTGTGTGTGTGTGCGCGTGTGTGTGTGTGTGCGCGTGTGTGTGTGTGTGCGCGTGTGTGTGTGTGTGCGCGTGTGTGTGTGTGTGCGCGTGTGTGTGTGTGTGCGCGTGTGTGTGTGTGTGCGCGTGTGTGTGTGTGTGCGCGTGTGTGTGTGTGTGCGCGTGTGTGTGTGTGTGCGCGTGTGTGTGTGTGTGCGCGTGTGTGTGTGTGTGCGCGTGTGTGTGTGTGTGCGCGTGTGTGTGTGTGTGCGCGTGTGTGTGTGTGTGCGCGTGTGTGTGTGTGTGCGCGTGTGTGTGTGTGTGCGCGTGTGTGTGTGTGTGCGCGTGTGTGTGTGTGTGCGCGTGTGTGTGTGTGTGCGCGTGTGTGTGTGTGTGCGCGTGTGTGTGTGTGTGCGCGTGTGTGTGTGTGTGCGCGTGTGTGTGTGTGTGCGCGTGTGTGTGTGTGTGCGCGTGTGTGTGTGTGTGCGCGTGTGTGTGTGTGTGCGCGTGTGTGTGTGTGTGCGCGTGTGTGTGTGTGTGCGCGTGTGTGTGTGTGTGCGCGTGTGTGTGTGTGTGCGCGTGTGTGTGTGTGTGCGCGTGTGTGTGTGTGTGCGCGTGTGTGTGTGTGTGCGCGTGTGTGTGTGTGTGTGTCTGCTATTTTCTCTGGAGACTGGTGGACACCACTACTGTCCACTGACCTCACATGAGGGGGTAAAAATAATTAATTGCACCCCAGACTAGAAAGTGAAACTCTAAACGGGTAGTTTGAAAACCACTACATGGTTGGGGAATTTTCATAAAGTGGAACTTAACAGTTCTGTCATCCATCCATGATGTAGGGCCGGTTTACTTTTTTTTTTGCAAATTTCTATAATTATTTGGTATAAAGTTGGGAAAGTTTTTCTTATATAATTTTTAGAACAGTAAATTGGCTGTGGTTTTACTCTCTTTCACCCTCTTGTCTACGTCTACGGCAGAAACATGTCCAGGCTTTCACTTCTCTTCTGTCTACGGCAGAAACATGTCCAGGCTTTT